CACCCAATCCACTTGGTTGTTGATAAGTGCAAGTTGTTCCAAGGTCAAATACGTCATTTTGCTTTCACTATTTTAAGACTTATAATTTAAATACAATATGTTTTTTAAAATATGTTATAAAATATTTAGTTATTTCTTTGTTATTATTATTATTATTATTATTATTCATTTTCTTTTAATTAAAAAAAATTGTTGATCAATAGTTTGGGTTTTTAAGTGATGATTGAAGCTTTAGAAGGAACGTGTGGCTTACACTTTCAACCAATATGATTGGATCTCAGTTTTAAGCAATTTAAAATAATTTAATAATATACTTAAATTAAAAAATATATATATTTACGGTTAGTTTTGGATGTAACTGTTCGATGAATACCGTTGAACTTTCAAAGGTTTCAAAAATATATATATTTTTTATTTCAAAAGAGTTTCAAAAATACCCTTCAATTTTTTTCACTGATTCCGTGGGTCTTAGTATAATGGGTTTGTTTGGAAATATATGTACCCATATTTTTCCGCTGTGATGTGCATTACTGCATTTCGTGTCATTGTCCTTTGTCTCGCTTCGATTTGTCTAGATGTGATCCAAGCGCATTGTGCATTTCGTGTCATTGCCCTTCGTCCCCTTTTGATTTGTCTAGATGTTATCCAAGTGGGTTCAAGTGCTTGAATTGTGTATCTACCGAAGCAAATACGATTGCCTCGATAAGATATTCCTTTCATTTTTCCTCTATGGTGTTTACAAAATATGGTTCTTTTCGAGTTATAGTTCATGGTTATTTCTCAAGAATAAGAGGACACCAAAGGCCTCTGCCCTTCTTTCCCTTGGATAGATAGAGAGGGAGGGCAGAGCCTTTTTTTGGTTTTTTCATTTTGTCAAAGAGTTGAACAATAATTTTTTCGTGCTGTCAAACAATGAAAATAGATGGTGAGTGCCTAATTGAATTGATCGGGTCATGTAGGAACAAGGTTCAAGTCTACCGGTCTGTTAGGATGCCTCAGCTGCATACATCACTGCGATGATGATAAACGGCTCATCTCGCCGTGACCTAAACTTCTGTCGCTTCATCCCCGCAGGGGTAGAGAACCCATCACTGTCTTGACTGTATTACTAGAGGCTCTGGAGAAGTCGGAATAGGAGAGCACCTATCCTAACTTTCAAAAGTAATATTAAAAATTTTGGATATAATCTAAGAAGGGTTTATAGACGTTTTTTTTTTTAATAGTTTTTAAAAGTATTTATTTGATAACATAATAATCATCAATACTACTGAAGTTATAGATCTAGAAAGTTGATTTTAATTGAAAAAAAAAATGTGAAAATTGCCTTAGAAATGCATCCAACTTGGGCATCACTGTCTTTTGTTAGCCCTACCACCACCGCACCCAAGTCTGCTACCTACAAGTGGAAGAGCAGGGCCACCGCGGACGTGACATCCTACAATCCCATCAACTTTTATAAGAGTGTGAGAATCTTTCCCGAGCAAACGCGTTTTAAATGGAAAGGAGAACAAGACGTGTTTTAAAGCCTTGAAGTGAAGTCCGAAGAAGACAATATCTGGTAGTGGTGGATTTAGAACGTTACATAGGACATTACAGGCCACGTCAATGGGAAAAGATCATGAAGAGAGAGAAAAAACAACTCAGAAATTCAAACCTTTGTCGTTTGCTCTCTCTAATAAAAGGGTTTTTCTTTTTGTTTATGTACAAACTCCAGCAAACAAAATTGTAATCAAAGCCATAAAAATAGACATTGTAGAGAGTGTTTAACTGGTAGAAACAGAAGTAAAAAAGCAGCAGTGTTCAGTGATTTCATCAAATGATCTACCTATTCAAAAGTCGTAATCGATGTCGGTTGCATTCTGGGCAGCAGAGCGTTTAACTAGTCGTTCTTGCTCGTCGTATCGGTCCAGGTTGTCACAAGGAGCTGGGAAGATGGTTCCTATAACTCGTCCGTAAACAAATGCACATTGGAATATATGTTTCTTCTTGTATGTTATCCCCACTGACATATCCCTGAACGTCACGTTTCTCACTGGAATTTCTTCGCTACCGTGCATTCGGACCGGTACTCGAACTCCCTGTCCGTGGATGCTTGTGAAGCTTATGTCCTTCAGCACTGGAACTGCTTTTGGATCGTATCCTTCGTCTGGGTGTTCGTTGTAGTCTGTCTTTATGACAATCCCAACACGAACGACGTCGAGGGTCAGATTACGATAACTGATGTCTTGCACGTATCCTCCTCTTCCTGGAGCAGTTTTGATCCGGACACCACGCCTGGAGTTCCACACCACGACGTTCTCTACCGTGATGCCCGATACACCACCTGACATCTCGCTCCCAATCGATATACCGGCGCTGAAGAATTTCCACCAAAAACAATTCAGATACTATCTAGAATGAAAAACAACACATGAATGGATCGATATTTTCCCACAAACACGTTCAAGATATTTACCTAACCATAGATTGAAGAACAACGTTTCGAATCCGTATGTTTTTCGAGGGCTGCCTGTAAGCAATGCCATATTGATCCCAACCACTCTTAATTGCAATACCGTCGTCTCCCACGCTTATGTAACAATCCTCGATCAGCATATCTTCACATGAATCTGTTACCAAATGTATAGTAGACTATTAAAGTTGATCTTTTAAAACATGACTTAATCATATAAGTGTGAGATCCTACATCGGTTGGGGAAGAGAACGAAACATTCTTCGTAAGGATGTGGAAACCTCTCCCTAGCAGACGCGTTTTAAAAACTGAGGGAAAACCCAAAGAGGACAATAGCTGCTAGCGGTGGGTTGGGCTGTTACAAATGGTATCAGAGCTAGACACTGGACCATGTGCCAACGAGGAGGCTGAGTCTCGAAGGGGGGTGGACACGAGACGGTGTGCCAACAAGGACGTTAGGCCCCAAAGAGGGGTGGATTGGGGGGTCCTGCATCGATTGGAGAAGGGAACGAGTGCCAGCGAAGATGCTTGGCCCCGAAGGGAGGTGGATTGTGAGATCCCACATCGGTTGGAGAGGATAACGAAATATTCTTTATAAAGGTGTGGAAACCTCTCCCTAACAGATACATTTTAAAAACTTTGAAGGAAAGCCCAAAGAGGACAATATTGGCTAACGGTGGGCTAGAGCTATTACAATAAGCACTCATTAAAACCAGTGCAACACTGGATCCATCCGGCTTGGAATCCAATGAACCGATGGCCCCTTTCCCATTTGAATAATAAGAAGGTCAGCGCCCCTAATACCGGGGGTAGCTCTGCCTCATGGGGACAGCAGGAAGAGGAAGGTTAAGCTGAAAATCAGAACAAATTACACTCGACCCGGACTTGTCAATCATCCTACCCCCTAAAACTCGATAAAACTCGGAGTTTCAGCTTCATCTTCTACATGCAAAGTTATACTATGAGAAAAGCTGGACTGGTCTATCTTTCTTAATTTGAGTTATCTAATACCCATCTCGTGCAAAAACCGATGCAATTTATCGATATGAGATCGAGGAACAGCTTAGCCTACTCTACGTATATTATGAAGCAGCACATCATTATGATAAACCAAGCATCCAATTCGACAATTATATAAACAAAGCATTAAAGTTTACCAGGATCGATTCCATCCGTATTTGGTGCATCGTGTACAGGGGCCAAGATCGTTACATTCCGGATAGTAACATTCTTACAGTCGTATGGATGAAGCGTCCAAAACGGAGAGTCACGCAAAGTTATATTGCTAATCACAATATCCCTTGACCACATGATCTGAACTAGGGGGCCCCTAGTGTGGTTAAGAAGCTTCTGCCGATATTTCTTCCACCATGTTTGCCCCTGTCCGTTGATGGTACCATTATGCCCTGTAAGTCACGACGTATACACGATCAGAAGTCACAAACTAAACATTAGGCCTTTTCGAGGTATCGGTTGTTGTTTTGTCTTATAGTTCATATTACACAAATATACGTTGCATTTTGTTAAAAAACACAAACACTTTAGTTTGGCTAGCATGTCCGTGTCCAACGAGTATCAGACACTAGGACACTCCGATGGACACATATGGAACACTTGCTTGTACAAAGATTACTCTTAAAAATGTATGTTTTAATAAACGTGTCCACGTTCTAGATTTTTAGAAAACGATGTGTCATCTTGTTTCACGTCGTGTCGTAAATAAAGAAATGCTGATCAATCTGACCTGTTATTACAACATCTCTGAGATTTTGACCATGAATCAAACTCCCATACCGAGGTCCAATGTGCTCTCTTCCATACCCATAGGAAGGCAAAGGAGGCATCAGTGGCCAATATTTTTCATCCTGTAATATAAATAAGATTAGCCAACATTCAGCCATTAGCTAGAAGCTCATTCTACAACTAAATAAAACGTCGAAGTCAATCAACCGTAAAAGATAACACGTTCAAAATGCTGTGTGAAAACCTTTAATGTACTCGAGCAAAGTAACAAGTCCAAAGATCGATTTAACATTTCGATTACCGTTTTTCAATGGAAAAATAGGTGAATGGGTAGAAATGTGGATACAACACTAGTGACATTCGCAAGGAGTCGATGCGAGAAGATAACTGGAAAGTAAGAACACAGAGTAAATATGTGTAATGGCTCAAGCCCACTGCTAGCAGATATTGTCCTCTTTGGGTTTTCCCTTTCAAGCTTCCCCTCAAGGTTTTTAAAACGCGTCTGCTAAAGAGAGGTTTCCACACCCTTATAAAGAATGTTTCGTTCTTTTCCCCAACCGATGTGGGATCTCACAATCCACCCCCTTCGAGCTTAGCGTCCTCGCTGGCACTCGTTCCCTTCTCCAATCGATGTAGGACCTCCCTAATTCACCCCCCTACGCGGCCCAGCGTCCTTGCTAGCACACCGCCTCGTGTCCACCCCTCTTTAGAGTACAACCTCATCGCTGGCACATTGCCCGGTGTCTTGCTCTAATACCATTTATAATAGCCCAGTCCACCGATAGCAGATATTGTCCTCTTTAGGCTTTCCCTTTCGGGCTTCCCCACAAGGTTTTTAAAACGTGTTTGCTAGGGAGAGGTTTCTACACCCTTACAAGGAATGTTTCGTTTCCCTCTCTAACCGATGTGAGATTTCACAATCCACCTCCCTTGGAGGCCCAACGGGCTCGCTGGCACACCACCCGGTATCTGGCTCTAATACCACTATAACAACTCAAGCACACCGCTAGCAAATATTGTCTGCTTTAGTTCGTTACGCATCGTCGTCAACTTCACGGTTTTAAAACGCATCTGTTAGAGAGAGGTTTCCACCCCTTATAAGGAATGTTTCGTTCATCTCTCCAACCGACGTGGGATCTCACAAACCCAGAGAAAATATGGTTGCACTTGTACGCCTAATCTGATTGTCGGAAACAACCCTCCCGACGCCTCTTGTAAGATGAACACTTTCTAATCATTCATTGTTTCGAAATGGAAAAAGGTCTGGCTCTTCAGTAACTAATCAAGACTCGTGATTTCTAAATACACAAATATCTGTGCCTAAACCATGTCTTAAAATGTATTTATACAGCATCAACACTAATAGTAGTTGCCAATACGTCATGGTGAAGCTAACAATCAACATACTATTCCATTGGATTGAACACATACAAAGGGGTATTATATCTATCTATCCATCTATCCATCCACGAGACCTCAAGAACAGCAAGTACAAACAGGCTGAATAGCATCCTAAGAGCAAGCATGCAAGTTTAAACAGAAGAAATCAACTATTTTCATCAAGTTCATCGCAGCATCAAGGATCTAAGAACAAAATTCAACCAAATTCAAGCTGAAACAGAGCATTCAGAAGGAAAAACACACCTGAATCCCTAAAATAACAGCATCTTCATCCAAAAACAAAGTCATATGACTAGTAAGATTAAACGGAGCCGTAAGCCACCGCCCTGAAGGCACATTAAGCTGCCCTCCACCTTTGCTCCTCAACTTCGAAATAGCCAAAATAGCCCTTTCAAAGGCTTCGGTATTCAAAGTCACCCCATCACCAACAGCTCCAAAATCCGTCAAATTAAACGCAACAGGCCGCAGCCTCGGCAACGGCCTGCTCGAGACTGGCCGCAGAAAAAAGAACCCATCACGAATAGTACTCATCCAGAGAAAAATCGTGGCAACCGCCGCGATCCACAGCACTGTAAACAGCGTCCTGTACGTCGAGAAGAACGCCGGAACGCATCGCTTGAAATCAATCCTCTGGTTATTGAACCGCCCACCAAGAATCGAGGTCTCCACCATCATGAACACAATGCCAAACTGGTTTTCACTCGAAACTAGTGATCGATGAGCAAAATTAAGAATCTGGGTTCGATTGAGTTGATCCTAGGCATGTGGGTTTCTGTAGAAATCGATGGGGGGAGAGATCTAGAAAGGGGATTTGGGTTCAGAGCGAGAAGTAAGAGGGATTGTGACGGAATTGGGTGGGCTGTTAGTGATCAAAATCAGGTGGAGATTTTTTGAAGATTAGTGAAATGCAAGATTTTGCAAGATAGATTGTATTCCAAGCGAAGATTTTCAAGTTTAATCTATGGAAAATTGAACTCGATAGGGTTCGTAAGCAACCATTTAAGATCTAGCTCAATAATAATAAATCATTATTTTTTTAGTTCAAGATGGAATTATCCATATTTTAAATATTATTTTATTTTATTTTATATATTTATTAAATCTAAAATTTATTAACATTTCTATCATCTATTTTTGTTTTGTTTATTCATTCAATATATTATAAAACGTATACAAAATTAATAAAAATGAGATAAAAATGTATTAAAGCTATTTTTTTAATTTAAAAAATTAATAAATTTACGATGATTTTGAGTTAGCTTAAGCCTAAAATTTATTGTTTTCCGACAAGATAATATATATGTTTGAAGCGGGACGTTTGCTACCATTTAATAATTTGATTTGAACCATATTTGTGAAGTAGTTTTCAAATGGAGAAGATCGAGAAAAGAAAATAGGTGAGTAGTTAGAACGGGACCAATTTAGTGGATGAGCTTCACCAATATCACCTTCCTAACCTAATCACTCTTGCAAATTCAAATTTTTGTTCGTTTTATACTGACATTATTTTATTATAGGGTCGTTTGATTGAACGTTTTATTTTAAAAAAAAAAATTGATTGGAATTTCATATAAATAAATAATATTTACATTTGTCATCTTCGATATAAATGTAAGAGCTTAAATCCACTCGGACAGATATCATCTTATTTGGGGTTTCTTTTTCGGCTTCCCCTTAGAATTTTTAAAATGTGTTTGCTAGGGAGATATTTCCACACTCTTAAAAGAATGTTTCATTCGTCTCTAACTGATGTGGAATCTCACAATTCAGCCCCTTTTAGAGCCCAGAGCGTTCTTGATGACACTCGTTTCGTCTCTAACTGATGTGAAATCTCACAATTCAGCCCATTTTAGAGCCCAGAGCGTCCTTGATGACACTTGTTTCGTCTCTAACTGATGTAGAATCTCACAATTCAGCCTCTTTTAGCCTTGATAACACTGTTTCGTCTCTAACTAATGTGGACTCTCACAATTTAGCCCCTTTTAGAGCCCAGAGCGTCCTTGATGACACTCGTTTCGTCTCTAACTGATGTAGAATCTCACAATTCAGCCCCTTTTAGAGCCCAGAGCGTCCTTGATGACACTCGTTTCGTCTCTAACTGATGTGGAATCTCACAATTCAGCCCCTTTTAGAGCCCAGAGCGTTCTTGATGACACACGTTTCGTCTCTAACTGATGTGGAATCTCACAATTCAGCCCCTTTTAGAGCCCAGAGCGTCCTTGATGACACTCATTTCGTCTTTAACTAATGTGGAATCTCACAATTCAGCCCCTTTTAGAGCCCAGAGCGTTCTTGATGACACTCGTTTCGTCTCTAACTGATGTGGAATCTCACAATTCAGCCCCTTTTAGAGCCCAGAGCGTCCTTGATGACACTTGTTTCGTCTCTAACTGATGTGGAATCTCACAATTCAGCCCCTTTTAGAGCCCAGAGCGTCCTTGATGACACTCGTTTCGTCTCTAACTGATGTAGAATTTCACAATTCAGCCTCTTTTAGCCTTGATAACACTGTTTCGTCTCTAACTGATGTGGACTCTCACAATTCAGCCCCTTTTAGAGCCCAGAGCGTCCTTGATGACACTCGTTTCGTCTCTAACTGATGTAGAATCTCACAATTCAGCCTCTTTTAGCCTTGATGACACTGTTTCGTCTCTAACTGATGTGGAATCTCACAATTCAGCCCCTTTTAGAGCCCAGAGCGTCCTTGATGACACTCGTTTCGTCTCTAACTGATGTGGAATCTCATAATTTAGCCCCTTTTCGAGCCTAGAGCGTCCTTGATGACACTCGTTCTCTCTCTAATCAATTTGGGATCTCACAATAAAGCAATACACACTACAAAGTGCTTGAATTTTCTTAAAACGAGTAAGATAACTGCAACTCAACCTGATTGCTTACGTGTTTATTTTTTAATATTTACTATAATTTTTATAATTTTATCGTACGAATTAAGTTAATGACGGTGAAATATATCAACTTTAGATATATTATAATTAAATAAAGATAGGAACATGAGAACTACCTTGGTAGGTAAGGCCAAAGAGTGTATTCTAAACTACTCTATTTGGTAGTGTTTTATGGTTACAATATCTGCCTCAACAAGAACCAATACATTTAGTCGAGTTGAGCGATTGACACATTCTTGAAAAGACTTCGTAACTTCACGAACCTCTAAAGCCCTACAAATAAAAGAGCTCGCCAGAGGGAGCAATCCACCTGGTCTGAACGAACCGTTCGACTGTGACATGGTGACTCAATTGGCCACTATTCGGCCACTATTCCTGCCAGAATTTCGATGTACGACCTGCTACGTCTTTCTCCTGAAACCATAAGGCAGTAGTCAAAGCTCTCTCAAAGTCTAGAAGACTGTCACTTAAATGAAATCGGGTTGAAGCTAAAGGGAAAGGGAAAAAGAGTCAGTCAAGTTCATGAGGAATGTATGGCAACCAGAGAGTTTCCGACCGCTAACATAGTCTTTTCAAAGGACATTTTATGGTTACAATATCTGCCTCAACAAACAAATTACATTAGGCGTGTCAAAATTAAAATACAAAATACACATATTTAATAAATTCAATATTGGAGGGGGCGCGCCAGACCCAAGCTGTAGTGCAACGCATGGGCGACAATCGAGAGCCCCAACAACAAGCTACTGTGATGGGCTCTCCCCCCTTCAAAAATTAATTTAATATCACATGGGTCGATGGCTCACGTATCAGATATTAAACTGATAAGAACAGATACTACACTTGATCTTAGCCAAAAGGCCGAGAAAGGTATGATTTTTATTGGTGTTTACACTGCCTTTTTTATACTCAGTATCCTGCTCTTGCTTGTAAGTTTAGTCGATGTGGGACAATTTGCTTCCCTCATTCTTCCAATGAATTCTATTCGGACTAAAGGTTACTTTTGACAACTTTAACGTCAAGAACTAGGTGAGATCGGTGAGGTGCACATCCTTAAGATGAATCATGATTCTTGGTTGTTTGAAACAAAAAGTGAGTACAAGTTTAATACAAGCGCTCAACGTACTAGTTGGCACATTGCCTCATATTTGACTCTGATACCACTTCAGGCTTCCCCTCGAGATTTTAAAAGGCGTTCTCATTAGCACGTTGTTTCGTGTTTAGCTTTGATCCACCTTCTCCATGCCTAGCTTCCCCTCGAAGTTTTAAAAGGACTGTGTATTCGTTGGCACACCGTCTCGTGTCTGACTCTTATACCACTCCATTGAGAGCTCAACGTTCTCGTTGACACACTGCCCTCGTGTTTGGCTCTGATACCACCATTCTCCTTGAGGACCCAATGTCTTCGTTGGCATATCGCCCCGTATTTGGCTTTGATACCATTTGTAATACTCAAGTCGTCACTAACAGTTCTGTTCAAGATTTTAAAATATTCCACCAAATAGAGATATCTACTCCTTATAAAAAGATGTTTTGTTATTCTCTCCAACCGATGTTGAATCTGATAGAGTTGATCAGATAAATGTTAGGGCACGAACGAAAGGATCATTTTCTTTCATTATCCATCCATTTTCTTTTTGCCAAGCATTGCAATTTAAAGGAACGAAAGTAAAACTGTAAATTTCCAAAATTTAAACTCTGTAAGTATCAGGATGAAAAGTTTTTATTAACTCTTGATGACGTGGTAAAAATGCTTTGGAAAAAAAGTAGACACAGATATTGGCTGTCAAAACGCCACGTGGCGTCAAAGTAAGCCGCTACGTGGAACCTATTATTATTTGGACTTTCTTCTCTCTGTGGAAACTTTAACTAACAAATCAGAGACTCGCTGCATCATTTCCAGAGCGGCGGACCGACGGAGACATGTTTCGAACGGCGGCGAAGCGTCTGATAGTCGGCGTGACCTCCGGCAGAAATGGCATTCCCCGTCTCAGATTGCCATCGCCTTCCACCTTCCTCGACCACTGTCCCTTCTCCACAGCTACCGATTCACAAGAACTTCCTAATTCTCAAATCCCCAATCAACACCATATTCGTCAAGAAACGCTTTCTTCTTCTGATTCTGCATCTTCTTCATCTTCTTCATCTTCGACTTGGTCCTCATCAACCTCGGGCGAAGAAAGCCGAAGCCATGAGAATCGGCGGCCGAGAGTTGAGTATCAAGAGGAGCAGGCTCGCGTCCTCCAGGCTGCTCTTTCCCACGTGGTCTGTCCTCTCGTCTTTTTTCTCCTTGTACATATTTTTAATTATAACTGAAAGTTCTGCACAGCCAAATGGATGCCTCTTTTCGATTCTGTCAGAAGTTTCGTTGAGGGTTCCTAATGATTATGTATTGTGCTATAACATTTTGGACAGTAATTCCATATTTCTCCGTTGGTTACTGTAACTTGCATCTAGGGTTGGCATTGTGGAATGAATTGGGGTTTTCTTTGTCTGCTTCGATCTTTAGGTCTTTCAAGGTTTAGAGATCTCAATTTTAATTTTGCGTTTGTGAAATTACAGGTGAAGCTAGGATGGACTGAGGCCGCAATGATAGCTGGTGCAAGGGATATTGGCATGTCACCTTCCATTGTTGGATCATTTTCCAGGAAGGAAGCCGAATTAGTTGAGGTATTCTCCCGTTTCTTTCACTTTCCCCCTTTACATCTTGGACACCCGTTTGATTCAGTCATATGTATTACTCAGATACTGGGCACTGCGGTTAATAAGCGTGAAGTTCTTACCCTTGACTATTAGTTACTTCAAATTATGCTGGTTTCCTATTTTCTGATCCTAGTTCATTAAATCTATAAAATTATCAAAAAATCTCCAGTTAGTGGTTGGAAGAAGCTCCCTGTGCTATGTTTTTGCTTGGGGTTGTGGCACTATGTTTATCTCTTACACATACGTGGGCTGAAAGCTCCAGTAAAATATGCTTGTTGCTACATTTCACCATCATTGCCGAAGATACATTGTTATTTATAATTTGTTCTTATTAGTTCCTATTACTTTTAAGTTTAAATGGCCCGATCACATGCTCGTCTTATTTGCTATTGGAA